AGTTAGTTAGTTAGTTAGTTAGTTAGTTAGTTAGTTAGTTAGTTAGTTAGTTAGTTAGTTAGTTAGTTAGTTAGTTTTAGGGTCAGGTACAGTAGGTAACTGCTAGGTTAGCATTGGGATTGGCAGTCAGGGTTAGGCTGTAGAAAATAATGGAAGTCAATGCCAGGTCCCCATAAAGATAGCTGTACCAGATTGTGTGTGTGTGTGGGGGGTTGCATGCATGACTCTACTACAACCACACAGTTTTAACAGTGTATCAGAACTTGACTGATTATGTCCATGTATGTGTTTTCTGAACTGTGGCAGCCATCTTGAATTGGGCTGTTTAAAGGTTATCTGGATGTACTGTATATGTTCACCAAGTTATGATTTCCTGAAGGTTTCACATCGTTTGCAAACCAAAAGGTTAACTCAAAGAGTTAAAGCTGAAGTTTCAACCAAAGATCTTGCTCCATCTGTTTTGTGTCAAGGATCAGTCCCAGATGGTAACAAACCCAGTTTTAGCTATTTATTGCCATTCTGGGGATTTTCAATGTCAGCTGGTTATAGCAGTCATCTTGTAACTAGGTGATTCCAAAAGTTAATCATACATCCAATGATTACTTCCTGCAAGTGTTATTCAAATGAAGCTGATGATTCATAAAAAACACATGTTCACACACAGCCTTCTGTTTTCACCCTGCAGAATCTCTCACAGCTTTTCTGACCGACCTGACAATTTTCAACATGCTGGATGGCAGAGTGCAGCAGCACCCGGGCCGGTGCCACCAGCTGACCCTTCTTTGCTCTTAGGAGGTCATCCATGGAGAAGAGGAGTGGCTGCTCCATCAGGTGAGCAGGAAGCTGCTCTATCTCATCCAATACCCTGCAACACAAACACAACTGTCAGCTGACCTTTGACTTGAGGGCTCAGGTTCAGTTCAAACGAGGATATATTATGAGATTAAACTCACTTAAGTTTCATCACAGCCTGCTGCTACTGCAATGGCTTTGGGTAAAAAGTTACTTTACAGTTAATTTCAACCAAAAAATGTTACAAAGGTGACTTTAAGACCCATGGGTCAAAATTAAACATTAAAGGGGACCTAATATGCAAAATTCACTTTTTTCAGGTTTTCTTACTTACATTTGGGTCTGTACTGCTTCTAAAACTTCCAAAAAAAATGCACCCAGAGGTATTTTAACTATAAGTAAACGTAGGTTTTTTTTGTCTTGAATTAAGTAAGTAAGTAATGTTTATTTATATAGCACCTTTCTGTGTGTATTTTGGTGACTGAACTATTTTTGCCAGTTCAAGAACCCTCAGAGTACTCTTGATTAAAATCATGGTTGTGGTTTGATGAGGGGTACTTCTACAACGAGAAGACAAGTTTATTTTCTATTTAAACATAAAACAGCATTTTAATAACAACTAAAGGTAACATAGATACTTTATTATGGTATAGAATTTAAATATATGCCTGAGAAACACAAAATAATGCCCCTTTAAGTTTTTCTGTTTAACTTTTTTTTTCAGTTTGCTTGAGTTGATTTGGTCTTTTCCTCAAAAGTTGTTCATTTCTATTTCTTTCAATTTTTTTAAATATTTCTGAGCCTAGGAGGTGAATTTAGATCATTTACTTCAGGAAAATAACTCCATGAGTCACTTTAGTTTTGTTGCACATCTGTAAGGGATTGATGTTTAATTTCACTTGGTTAATTATGTTAGTTAAACCTAAAATTGCATTCATTTCATCATTATATAAAAAAATAAGCAAATAATAAGAATTTAATGCTGCAGAGTTGGCAGTCATATGTAGCTTTCAGATGATTCTTAGAAAATGTTTGGCTTTAAAAACCAAAACAAAATTGAGTGCACTGATGTTAATAGAATTATCTTCTGAAACATTTATGATATAAAGTCAAATTTTCATACATTTCCGTTAGAAAGACAATTACATGTTGTATAATGCAAAAAGCTAAATACCTTTGAGATAATCTGCAGGCTTTCAGCAGCTTCCTGATCTCTAGTAGCTGCTCTTGCAGCTCCTGGAGGAAAAGATAAATAAATAAATAAATAAATAAATAAATAAATAAATAAATAAATAAATAAATAAATAAATAAATAAATAAATAAATAAATAAATAAATGACGATGATGATGAAAACCTTTATTGTCATCGTTTGTACAATGAAATTACATTTAAGAACACACATTCAAGAAGACACACACATGACAAAAACATGGGGTAACAGGTGTTCAGGTCATGTGGCAACCAGTAGGGGTTGCGCTACCTTCAAAAAGTTTGGAATACACACAATAGGAAAGATGAGTTTAAAAAATGCTCTGATCCTATGTTTACACAAAAACACAGAATCATACGCTCATACGCATATAGTGCAAGGCAGCTAAGGAAAGGAGGTGGCTGGAGCTCAAACATGTGGCACGGGGTAGGATGCAAAACAGCCGGTAACGTTTCAGGGTAATATTACATGTTGGAACCAATCAAAGACCTTCAGAGTCCAAAAACAAGTTGTTGTCAACCAAGCACAAATCACCAGAGTTCAGTTCTCTGTCTCCACCTATCGTGGCCTTCAGACTGATCCACCCACGGATGAAACAGACAGGGGATGGGGAGTCAAGCCTCTGTCTCACGTGTCATCCAGGAAGTTTTTATCACTGCCGACCAAGGTCAGCAGCTGTATGGATCAAAAAGATAAACATAATTGGGACATTAAGCCTTGATTTTCTTGCTGCTTTCAATCTTTAACTGCATCTCTGTGATGGCGAAAATGCCAATGTTCTGAATTTCATTACCTCCTTGCCACTCTTTCCATCCGATACTTCACCAAGGTATACTCTTACTCCTCACGGGCACGCTGCTGAACTGTGATTCTCGTCAGAATCACGTCCAGTTTGCGACTTATATCCCCCAACATTTGAGTCTGTGCATTTCCAGAAAGGAGACTCCATCCAAGGTTCCTGACAGCTTCACCTAGGCCCGGACTGCTGTCAGGATCACTTTCATTCTCCTATAAGCCAGAACTCCTCCATAGCCGATCAGCAGGAATCCAGTTATCATAAATCCAAATCTGAACAGATCTTCGACGTCTTCAATGGAAAGAGGTGCCAAACAGATCAGGTTCCACCCCTAAGAACCAGACACTCGCCCAGCCGCCACCGTTCCACTGGGAAAGCTGTGCTCCCCACGCTCCAATCTCAGTGTAGAAAAAATAGTGTTGATTGCGTTCAGAGACCAGTTGACCAAATCCGTAATTCCTTTTGTTTTCAGATGATAGGTAGAAGAAAGGCTTGAAAAGGCTGCAAAGCAGGGAAGGAGGGACAGGTTCGGGAGAGAGAGCAAAAAAAAAGTGTCCAACTCCTCTGAAGGCCAAGCGAAAATAAATAAATAAATAGATAAATAACATGTAAGCAAAAAGCAAGTTCATCCAAAACCACTGTAAATATTTCCGTACGGGAATTAAACTTAGAATTTTAAAAGGTGTAATGGAATAATACATTTTGATCTAGGACAATAGGCTAACCTCTCTCTGGGCTGCCACCTCATCATGGTGGAGAGGTCTGAGTGTCCCAAAGATCCTAGGAGCTATGTTGTCAGGGGCTTCATGCCCCTGGTAGGGTCACTCAAGACAAACAGGTCCTAGGTGAGAGATCAGACAATGCACAGCCCAAAGACCCCTTATGATGAGTGCCTCAAATGGACTTAGTGTTCCCTCACCTGGATGCAGGTCACCGGGGCCCCACTCTGGAGCCAGGCCTGGAGGTGGGGCACGTTGGTGAGCGCCTGGTGGCCGGGCTTTCACCCATGGAGCCCGGTCGGGCACAGCCCGAAGAGGAGATGTGGGTCCCCCTTCCCGTTGGTTCACCACCTGTGGGAGGGGCCGTTAGGGGTCGGGTGCAATGTGTGTTGGGCAGTGATTAAAGGCAAAGACCTTGACCGTCTGATCTTAGGCTACAGAACCTGGCTTTAGGAACGTGGAATGTCACCTCTCTGGTGGGGAAGGAGCCTAAGCTGGTGTGTGAGGTTGAGAGGTTCCGACTAAATATAGTTGAACTCACCTCAACACACCGCTCTGTCTCTGGAACCAGTCTCCTTGAGAGGGGTTGGACACTCTTCCACTCTGGAGTTGCCCATGCTGAGAGGCGCCGAGCAGGAGTGGGCATACTTATTGCCCCCCATCTTGGTGCCTATATGTTAGGGTTCACCCCGCTGACTGAGACGGTAGCCTCCCTCCATCTATGTGTAGGAGGATGGGTCCTTACTGTTGTTTGTGCCTATGTGCCTAACAGCAGTTCAGATTACCCTACCTTTTTTAGAGTCCTTTGAGGGGGTGCTGGAGAGCGCTCCTAACGGGGACTCCCTCATTCTGCTGGGGGACTTCAATGCTCAAGTGGTCAATGACAGTGAGACCTGGAGGGATGTGGTTGGGAGGAATGCCCCACCCCGATCTGAACCCGAGCGGTGTTTTTTATTGGACTTCTGTGTCCATCATGGATTGTCCATAACAAACACCATGTTCAAACATAAGGGTGTCCATATGTGCTATTGGCACCAGGACACCCTAGGCTGCAGTTTGATGATCGACTTTGTTATCGTTTCATCTGATCTGAGGCTGTGTGTTTAGTTTAGTTTAATTGTTTATTCATTTCATTTAACACAAAAAATTTATACACATTAAAAAAATATACACAACATACATACACAACAAAAAATATACAAATCAAACTGAAATGAAAGGAGGCAGAAAGAAGAAAAAAATCTTATAATATSTGCATGTCTTGGACACTCGGGTGAAGAGAGGGGCGGAGCTGTCAACTGACCACTACCTGGGGGTGAGTTGGATCTGATGATAGGGGAAGATGCCGGTCAGACCTGGCAAACCCAAAAGTATAGTGAGAGTTTGCTGGGAATGTCTGGCAGAGTCTCCCGTCAGACGGAGCTTCAACTCACACCTCCGGGAGAGCTTTGAACACCTTCCGGGGTAGGTGGGGGACATTGAGTCCTAGTGAGCCATGTTTCATGCCACTATTGTCGAGGCGACTTACCTGAGCTGTGGCCGTAAGGTTGTCGGTGCCTGTCGTGGCAACCCTCAAACCCGCTGGTGGACGCCGGCTGTGAGGGATGCTGTCAGGCTGAACAAGGAGTTCTATCAGGTCTTTTTGGCCTGTGGAACTCTGGAAGCAGTCGATAGGTTTCGGTGGCAGTCCAAGCGGATTGTGGGTGGTCACTGAGGCAAAAACTTGGGTGTGGGAGGAGTGTGGAGAGGCCATGAAAAAAGACTCCCACACGGCTTTGAGGCAATTCTGGTCCACCATCTGGCATCTTGGGGTTGTGTGAAGGTGGGTTTCACCACCAACACTGGTTATGGTGGGGATGATGCGCTGCTGACCTCAATTCGAGATGTTGTGGGCCGGTGGGCAGAATACTTCAAAGACTTCCTCAATCCCAATGACACGTCTGCACATGAGGAAGCAGAGCCTGAGGACCCTGGGTCAGACTCTCCAATCTCTGATGCCAAGGTCACTGAGGTGGTTAAAAAGCTCCGCAGTGGCGAGGTGCTGGGGTTGGATGAGATTCACCCAGAGTTCCTTAAGTCTCTGGATATTGTGGGGTTGTGCTGGTTGACACGATCTACAATATTGCTTGAACATCGGGGGCAGTTCCCCAGGATTGGCAGAACAGGGTGGTGGTCCCCCTATATTTAAAAAGGAGGACCACAAAGTGTGGTCCAATTAAATGTGGATCACACTTCTAAGCCTCCCTGGTAAGGTCTATTCAGGGGTTCTGGAGAGGAGGGTCCATCGGATAGTCGAATCTGGGATTCAGCAAGAGCAGTGTAGTTTTTGTCCTGGTCGTGGAACAGTGGACCAGCTCTACACCCTCAGCAGGATCCTGGAGGGTGCATGAGAGTTCGCTCAACTAGTCTATATTTGTTTTGTGGACTTGGAGAAGGTGTTCAACTGTATCAGTTGGGGCCTCCTGTGGGGGGCACTCAGGGAGTATGGGGTACCAGGCCCTTTGATACGGGCTATTAAGTCCCTGTACGACCGATGCCAGAGTTAGGTCCGCATTGCTGGTAGTAAGTCGGACTCGTTTCTGGTGAGAGCTGGACTCCGCCAAGGTTGTTCTTTGAAATGAAGACAGTTGGCCTCATGCAAGAACCGTTCGTATGCACAGATTTGTCCTTAAGTTGTGCTTACGAGTGATTTAGGAGAATTTGTAACATTCACAAATTTTCTCGTATTCTAAGATTTTCTTCAGATACGAGCAAAATTCACGAGTGGTCCAGACTTCTATATTTTACGAGCAGTCTGTCTGCTGTTATCCAGATAAGAATTTTCTCACCAATACTGTAACTTTATATTTCATTAGTTTGAAGAAATTTCGAGTTGAAAATAAACCACACTCCATAATTATGTTGACAATAGGTTATTCTGTTTGAACTGGAATTAGATTTTAATGACATAAATTGATTAGATTAAATTAAATTGGCTTTTAATGCTGTTGTATAACACTACAACATTAATATGAAGATCACAAACTAAAAACCAACATAAAGCAGAGGAAATGATGACTGCTGTTAATGTTGTGTCTCCTGTCACAGAAATAAAAATCTAAATCATATTTATCTCTCTCTGTATAGTCCTGAGGCCTACTGCACAAAAGTCAGATGTTTAAATTCAGGATATGAACTGTAAGCCGAGCTTCAACTAGACTTCAACTTCACAAAAAAAAAAAGTGCAACCGCTGTCTCATTTATTTGAAGTACTGTTTTAAATCAAACTAAATGAAAATTTTGTTTTATTTATTTTAAATAGTTTTTTTTTCTGTTTACTTC